TTAATAATAATATAAAATTGAAAGTAATAATTATAATAATAACATATGAATATATATATATAAAAAAAATAATATATACAAACAAGTGATGCAGGGTGTAGTTGTGCACCACCCAGTGACCAACGCCTGTCCCATCCCAGCAAATGATTCCAAAACAGATAAGTCCCAAGACCACAGTCCGGGACGAGTGAGGGGCCTGAAAAGACGATGAGAGAGAGAGAGAGAGCACTCTGGGAGTCTTGAGGGAGAGCCCTGGAAGAGCAAGAGCACTTCTTCCCGGTCAGCCTTCAGCTATATACTGGGCATGGCGTTGCATGCTATGGAATACTCCATTGGCCAATTTGGCCCTCAGTCCTAAATCCAAGTGTGAGTCATAAGGGGGAGTTGTGGGCCCTTTGTCCCAGCCATGCTCCCCCCAGCCTGTTGTGCTCCTGCACACTGGCAAAACCATGGGAAGCTGAAAAGTCCTTGATGTCTCAGTACCAACTATAAACATCAATGTGCTATCAACATTCTTATAACAAATCCCAGACTAAATCTAAAACACAGAGCTCTTTACCTGCTAAAAAGAAAAACTAACTTGGTCCCAGTCAAAACCAGGACAATAGGGCAAAAGCTTTGACTGGTACCAGTGGGTAGTACTGCCCACAAGAATGTGCTTGCTGTAGAGGGATTTCTGTTCAACAACAGAAGGTTTTGGAATTATACAGCACTTAACCTTCCTTACACTGCTGTTACTTTTATTATTTTGTGATGTTGTTAATCTGATCCTGGGCTCTGTGTATTCCTCGGAATAAGGCTACGAATGGCAATAGAAAACAAGCTTGTCATTTAAATTTGTTTGACTAGCAAACACTGATTGGCTTTAGGTAGATTGGCTGATGGGGTATAACACAGCTACTTGACTATGAAGACTGTATGGTGCTTAATCACATAGTGATACTGCTGGAGGCAAACGTAGGAGCCCCTATAAATAGGTGTAGTTTGAGGTGAGAATTTGAGTTGCTTAATGCCATTTCTTGGCTTTAGATTTGTAATGAGTCTTAACTAGTTGCAAAAGACTGTACTGCTGATGTAAGAAATGATGAGGAAAAGAAAATTTTGCTAAACTGTAAAGAATTTTCTCACAGAAGCCACCCCTGTAACCTTCCCCTCACTACCAAAACCCAGTGCACGCTTATACTAAGGACAAGTCAGAAAATAGTGTCCTTGGATCTATGAAATTGAAAAGAGACCTTAAATAGCTCCTTCTGTTCATCCTCAGACAGAAAAGTGTGATGTCTCTGAACTAGCTGCTGATTAAAAGGGACATTGAGAGCACAGTAAGTTTTCAGACCTCCTTTGTTGTCCTAGACTTAGAAAAATTTGAAATCATGATCTTGGCTGCAGTACTCACTTGTTTGTGGCACTGCGGTAAGGAGAAACAAAGATGGTTTCTTCACCTTGTTTACTGAGTTTTGGAATGCTTTAGAAAGAAAGGTGTCTGGACAGCTTGAAATGTCATCTGTACTGCAAGATAATGTATTCTCGAATAATAAAACTCAGGAGCTGAATACTGTAATTCCTTGGAGAGAATGGGATGACTGCAGTATGTTGGTCTTACGGCCTTCAGAAATCCTCGGCAGATTCCCGATTTGCATGTGTTTCCCAGTAATTATGTCAGCAACAGATATGCCATTAAATATTAGCCCAGGTAACAAGTTTAATCATAGCTGTTGAGTGTATATGCCATTAATAGTCTGGGGGGGAAGAGATTAGACTTTCCAACGTCACTGATACCATTTTCTAAATCTTGTCTGATGTTTGAAGATTATTGCTTTTTCCTGGGCTGCTTGTGCACCTCTGCAGAGAGGAATCTTGAATATAAAAGAAAATGGCAGATAACCTTTCATCCTTCCCTTTGAGTGAAATGCTTAACTATTGTTTAACGAGCTTAAAACAAGTGGAACACTGAAAATCACCATTTGGCTTCCAGACAGCTACTGTTTTGATGCATCTTTCTGACTTCTTTGGTCAGCTGTTGGAATGTGCTTTATCCAATGCAGTATCTTCTTTTTTTTCGGGTTTCTGCTGTATGTCCTGGACAGTGTCCTGTCCTGGTCTGCCAATACTGACGAGAACCTGTGAAATACAGTGCTGCACACTCAGACGTTGGTTGTGTGCTGCATATAAAATATACTGAGTACTAAGCAAGCTGGAGTTGTAGCTGTGGAAAGTGTGAAGGGGAACTGGGAGGGGGGGGAAGTGGTTAGGTGTCAGAAAAACGTTTTGATTCATGCAAAATTTATTTAATAGAAGTGAAAACTTTTTTCCTTGTAGCTGCTCAGAAGTGCTTCTCCTGTTGGAGGAAGGATGTGCCTCTAATCTATTGCGTACATCTACTGACAGCATTTGTACTTAAGAGCAAAGAATGTTTTAGCTAAATTTTACCTTGTTAAACTTCTAGTGCATTACTAATTCTATCTAATGTTTCTACAGGGATATATTCAGTGGAACTGGTAAATGACAGCTTGTATGAATGGCACGTTAAGCTTCTAAAGTAAGTTATTAAAGTTTTTTCTGTTTGTTCTGAAGAATCCATTTTATTAATGCGGGAGAGATTCTTACTTTTGATAAATAAGAATCTCTAACCAGAGCATTTGAAATAGCGTGTGGTGGCTACAATTCTGACGTGCAGAAATGCATACAGAGATTGGACTGTAGTAATTGAGCTGGCAAAAAAACAAACTCTCTTTGCACTGCCAATGCAGTATGTGTTACCATAACTTTCATTACTGTTCAATTCTCTTTTCAAAACTACTGCAAAATATGAAACCTACTATGATGATTTTTTTTTTGTCTAGAGTTTTTGTCTGGATGGTTTTATTTTGTTTTTTTTTTCTTAATTTCAAGAAAATGCAACTTCTGGTTTCATTCAAGATGTGAAAAGGAAACGAACTGTCTTAGTGTCACAAGTTCTTTATTTCTACAGTTGAGCAGATACATAGGACTGAAACTTTTAGTATAATGTAATTATGACATATATAATTATATCACTCGTCTTCTCCTATGTGCTGCTTTTCACTGTGCGTACTAGATAACTCATCTTCTTGTGTTCATAGTCCCATAACTTTAATTCTAGAGGTATTAGACTGAAATTACTCCTGGTAATGAGATCATCTGCTGTCATCCTACACGATAACCTGTAGGAAGGAAAAGCCTATCCGGACTAGGCTGGGTGACTGCAAAAGATGGCAGGAGATGAAAGACCTTCTGTCAGTTCAGATGTGTCATGGTGAATAAGTATAAGGACGTAAGTTGTTTCAGCGCGATAGTTGACCTGCCCATAGGAATTGTTGCCTCGTCCTAGTGGTAAAACTTGTATGACTATGTCACCAGCTGCTGAAATGCAGTTTTGTTTCTTCTTAGTGTAATCATAGGCGTGTGAGTGTTTTGAAGCTGAAAATGGCAGGAATGACATGTCAGAAAAATCCGTGCCGTGTTACAGGAGGCCTTGTCTATTGAGCGCTTCTGTAACAAAGTGCTCAAACTGCTGTGCGGTGATTTGAAACCTCTTTTCAAGTGCTGTGAACAGGTTTGATTTTCTGTCTTCAAGAAGGAGAAAATGGAGTGTACGCAGCGAATGGCTACGGGAAGATAAGGAGTATTGTTGTTTGTTTATCCCAGCAAAAGTTGTCTGGAAACAGATGAACTGTGTGCAGACTAGTTGAGGGGGTAAACGTCAGAGAAAAGAGCCCATTTGCCTAAGGAACAATATTGTCACTTGAACAAGTAACTCTGACCTGGCCTAGCACAAGCTAGGCTGGAAGTGCTAGGTTTCTAAGCATTGGGAGATTTTCTTCTGAAACAGCTTTCTGTTGGTAGGATGGGGACAAACTACCCAAGTAATTCCAATAGTGGTTTCACCTATAGCAGAGGACAGGATCTAATACCCCATGATTTTGTTTAGCATCTGTGTTGGGCTTGCTGCAGGCGTTTTTTGACTAGTCTGTTTTAAAAGCTGCTGGGGTGTCAGAGCCTGGGTGGGATTAACCGAGTAGTGTCTGAATTAATGTCTAGGCTGCTCACCACCAGTGTTTTGCAACAAACAATTGTTGAAATTCTGCTGAGCAGAAGCTGCTGGCTTTAGTACTTCTGCCGATGCAGGTTACTTTTAACAGCTGATTCAGAACTGTCATCACACATTTCATTAAGGGTTCACCGTGTACTGAAAACTAGATCACTACAGTCTTCCTGTTAAAATATTTTTTTTTCCCTCTTGAGATATACATTTCCAGTTAACTATGAGAATTAAAATTGCTGTTTTCAAATAAGCAGGTTATTTCGTGCTAACTATGTTCAAATAACACTTGATGGCATTGGGAATGTAGTGCATTGCAGCAAGCTTTCATGCTGATCTCATGGCAAAGTGTTTACTTTGTAAAGGGAGCAAGAGTTCTCTGCAGTTCAAGTTAAATTACAGTTTGTAAACTACATATACATAAAGGAGCTCTTTAAGAGCAATTACTATTTACAGGTAGTGAAAACACTAACTTCATCCAGCGTCTCCCTTCTGCTTCTTTTATAGAGTTGATCCTGATAGCCCACTGCATAGTGATCTTCAGGTCTTAAAAGAAAAAGAAGGTGTAGAATACATTTTACTCAACTTCTCTTTTAAGGTATGTGTCTATGAGAAGAAATGCTGGGGACAAGTTGGCTTATTGTGGAAAGTGACTGAAATGACCCTCAGGTGTTACTTGGGTAAAGATGGAGGTGTAGTATTAAAAAAAAAAAAAGTGCAACTTTAAGTGTGGCACTAAAGCTTCCCAAAGATTGCTTTTTAGCCAGTACTGTGGAAACATGACTTTTACAGAACTGGGAAACATTACTGCTTTAAATCGGATTTGCCAAATAAGGCTATTGAAATACTTCCTGGTTAGGAAAACACTCTCACAGTATTGTTCGTAACCTGTTTTTTGTTATACTTTTCAGGATAACTTCCCTTTTGATCCTCCCTTTGTGCGAGTGGTATCTCCTGTGCTCACAGGAGGGTAGGTTTGAGTTGCTTTACAGAAATTTAACTTTGTGGTGAAAATGTTACAACTTGAGATTGGTTGGCTGGGTTTGCGGGGAACATTTTGAGACTGCCATGTATGCAGCCTTCAAGGAATTTCCCCTAAATGTATATTGATGAGCTGCTTTAGACCTTGAGCTTGGTGAAGAGCTCGAAGCGTGGTAGGGAGACTTGCTTCTTAAGCTTCAGGCACTAATAGGAGCCAGGCAGCTGGGTGCATATTCCAGCCAGGTGCAATTCCTGTTTGAATTGCTTAGTTTGCATCTAGCTTTGAAAGACTCTGTGCCTGCCGTAACGCTTAAAAATTGGCCTCTTTATGCATGGTTAACATCACTGTTACTTCTCCTGTTCAGAATAGTCGAGGTGTTTTGAGTTGTGCTTCGAAGGGGTCTTGATCCCCGTGTTGCCTCAAACTTGCTGTAAAACCTTAACTGACTCTCTCTTGCTGTTAACACTGCCATAAAGTTTTTGTCTAAAATATCCTCAAATGCTAATCCAAAGGTACTAAATTTAATTGACACCATGCTGCAAAAGTTATCTAAAATGTGTTTGAAGTGCTGTCCATGGAGTGAAAACTTGTGTATACTCATGCAGAGAAGATTAAATTCAACTTCTAAGTCTTTTTTATGCATCTCCTGCTGACAAGAAGTTTGTCCGTGCATTTGGAAATGCAGTCCGTGATAGCTGGTTATGATTCTGATTTGCTTTTAATTGCTGTGTGTCTTCTTTTGCATTCAAGAAATGGTTAGTGCAGTTAAATAGTGTTCGTGAGGGTTGCTGCTACCAAAAAAGTAAACAAGCAGTGCCAGACACCAGAAAACTCGTTTAGATTCTGGTTGTTTTGTACTTAGACTTCTTTGTAGAATGAAAGAATGGCCCAGAAGATTTAGATTTCAGATCCTTTTCCCATGAATGTCATACAGGTCTACGCTGTTTGAACATCTTGAGCATAGGGGAGACTGTTTTTGGAGTGCTAAATTATACTCCCTCTGTCCGAGATTTATGATGAGCAGGCGTGCTGACTGCCAAGTCTGTCAGCACAATGCATGATGAAGTGCTATTGAAATTAGAAAGTGGTTTACAGGAAAAGAGCAAGTGAAGGTCTGCTTTATCTCATTTGTCTATATCTTTGATTCATAGGTGCACCTACGTTATTTGGAATTGCGTGAAATGTCTTTACAGAAGTGTATCTGTTTCTTTTTTAACTACACATCGGTACTTTATATACATAGTGTAGCCATAAAAAGCAAGCTTCCTTTTTTCGTAGTCTGTGTACAGTTGTGTAAGCAGTTTTGCAAACTAGATGGGTCGCTATTTTAACTAAGTGTAGTTAGCAAAGAAAAATATTATTATTATTATTAGTCTTACAATGCTCATCTTCGCATAAGTATAAAAGTATAATACGGCTAACTGGTTACAATATATTACTGGCTAAAGGGCATTTCAGCTTTATGTGAATAAAAAATGTAACAAACCAGCCTGCAAGAGCTTAAAGTGCTGTGAACGGTTTTATCTTTTCACTAACTGCTCATGTCAAATATATTTTCTTTCACGTTTGTTTCTAGGTATGTCCTAGGTGGAGGTGCATTATGCATGGAACTTCTTACTAAACAGGTGATCACAGACTCTGTTATCTGGATAATAACAAAGCACGCTTTAAAATAATGAAAATAGGTGTTTCCTCTGAGTTGAAGAATCCCTGTGTGGAGTAAATGACACACTCCAAAGGGAACACGGTGGAACAAACCTCAGTTCCACAAGATTTGCCTTGCTGATCTTGTGTAAGATGTTCTTTTCTGCCTTGGATGGCTTACAAGATGTCTGAGGAAGAGGCAAGAAGTGAGAGCGCATCAACTTTGAATTCTCAGAATTTCTGAGAGGAAGCCAGTGTAAAGAGTGAGTTCTGAGGAGCAAGACACTGTTGGTCTTTTTTTCTTTCCATAAGCCTCTACCTACTGCATGAAGTCAGCTCTGGAGAAGTGAGGAATGCAGAAGATTCTAGGCGTAGATGACTTGTGTAGATAGAGTGATCGTTTTTATCTTCAAAATAAATAAAAGAAAGAAGTAACCTATTTGCAGGCTCTGGCAGAAACTTTTGTGAACCCTGTAAGGTAAAGCAGTGCCAGAGAGGAGCAGTAACTTTCGTGGGAGCAAAATTGTCATAGCTCACTCAGTGGCTTCATTAGATAACACACTTTTCTGCTTGCTCCTTACAACAATAAGGGTAATTTCTGTTGTGATGTTGCTGAAAATGTGTAACTGGTGTAATAATGGAGCTCTTCTTGTTTCTGTCTTGCTGTATTTTGGAAATGTGTGATTCAGCCTTTTCATTTTTCCTACAGGTTCTTAATACTAATACTGTATATCACTTTCCAGATTTTCTCTGGAAAATAAAAGTTTCTAACTGAAAAAAAGTAGTTAAAACTAAAACTGGAGTGTAGGGGAAAAAAAATAAATCCAAAAGCATGCATTTCAAAATAGATTTGCAGGGTGAGCACAAGAAGCAAGTACATGTTATATAGAAATATTTCCTTCCTCCTCCAGGGCTGGAGCAGTGCCTATTCAATAGAATCAGTCATCATGCAGATCAATGCCACTTTAGTCAAAGGAAAAGCCAGAGTACAGTTTGGAGCCAATAAGGTAAATGCACTGTGTGTATCAATTACACAAATTACTGTTAGGCTTCTATTTGCTGACTTGCATAGAAGATGCTTAATGACAGAATTGTCATTGCAAATATATGTGCATTTTGATTTATCTTGATGTCTGGTGCGTGTATGAGTATTTTATTGGCAGTTAACTATGAGTTTGTTAAGAAATTATGAATGTGTGAGGAGGATAAAACCTTGGGATGGGCAGGGTGTGAAAGTAGTTGGACATGTACTATCCCTGTATTGGCAAGGAGGGGAGGAAAGAAAGGATGAGAACGGGGAATCAAGAGGATTTGGAAATTCTAGCTGTGAGAAGGGCAGTAGATGTCAGCCTGACTGCCAGGATCCCATACACTGGTGTTAAGAAGTTCTGCTCCTTTTGCTGGTCTCGACACCTGTGAAGTTTCATGAGAGGGTGAAAAATAATACCGTACAAATACTTTTAAGCTAGCCAATCAGCATTAATTGAAATCGCAATTCAGTTCAAGTGTGCATGCTGGTAGCAGCCCATAACTTAAGACTTCCAAGTACTAAATGCTGTTTTCAAAGGATGTTTAAATATTTCAGTCAATGAAATTGTCACTTGGATGCCAGTTTTTCCGTACTGATTCAGGGATAGTGAACTAGGTAAGATGTTAAAGTTTATGATCACAATTCTGTCTAACCTAGTAACTGGTCAGCTGAGCCAGCCAGAGTTGTGGTGGGGATTGCCTGAAGGCTGCCCTTCCAGTTACTCACAGGTCTAACATACCTCAGGCTCCGAACCCTCCGATAGAGGGACCTTTCCAGCAGCAAGGGTATGCAAATTATGGTCATTATGATGGAGGAGAAATGAGAAAATAAGAGTATTTGTCTTGAAAATCTCGTACTTTAAAACCAGGAACGTTGTAACATTGTGCATTGGCTTTTATTTGTAAGCCCACTGTAGAATTTCTTTGTAAAACTGTTTTTAAGTTCTGCCTGTCTAGATGCAGGTGTTTTATGTTTTTTTTTTTCTCTTTCAGAATCAATATAATCTAGCAAGAGCACAGCAGTCCTATAAGTCACTAGTACAAATACATGAGAAAAATGGTATGTATATTCTTGGGACTTTGTTCTCGTCTGCATGGCAACTTGGAGATTGGTATTTGGCCACAGTTATGTTGGCTTGGGAAGACCATAACTGGTGTTTCCTTTTTCCCATGTTGCACTAGGAAGACAGTAGTGTTTAAAGTAACTTGACTAACAATCATTGCAGCTTTTCCAGCTTACATGAATATAGCGGTGTTCCATGTGTTCCTACTGTCTTTTTGGAAAGGTAGTTCAGTTTCATTTTCAGCCAGTTGACCTAGTAACTTTATTGTTACTGTGGCTTTTAAAGTGTCTTGATTGTTAGTGAAGTACCTGATGGAAGTTTGCC